GTAATGTAATTTTGGGGGGGGGGGAAAGTTTTATCTAATTATAAATGGCAAAATTACTATTCCATAAACAAGTTGTACATATACAATATTACACATATTTCTATTCAAAATATTAGAAAATGTTATGAAATACTACTTGGACAGTTGAATTACTGAAATAAATTAACTTTTCCACGACATTCTAATTTATTGAGATGCACCTGTAGAGCATGAATTAATATTCTAAATTTATGGTAAATAGGTTTATCATTAACTATTAACCAACATTTAGTCCTAAACTAGCTACTAACTAGAGAGAAAGCTTAATCCCAGCTTACCCAAGTTTTTGTTTTATTTTATAAATGCTGTCTATTTAATTGTTGCAGAAATTGCAGGCTTCATATCAAATTAATATAAAATATAAAATATATAGCTTGAATTTCTGAGGCTGATGATCAACATTTTACTGACCATTTAAAAAAATGCATTTATTAATGCTTCAGGCACTACAGTATTTAATACCATCTTCATGGAAAGCTCTGCATGTGTGTTTGTGCTCATTTAAAACAACTTTAAATTTAAGTGACGTGGCTTACCTGTGGTCCCAGTAGGCTTGTTTAAAGCTGTCATAATCTGGGAGGTCAAAGTCATCAGCCTCCCAGGTGCACTGATCATACGGCAAATCTCTCCACTTAATCAGGTAGTGTACATCTCCATCCTTATCAAAACTTAAATTTACACAACACAGTCTTAAAGCATATAATTATATCATAATTTTCTGCATGAAAAGTATGTTGTCTGAAGTATCGCATTAGCACTAGTAACTGTGGTCCACCATACCTGTGGTTGAGGAGCCGGTGAATGATCATCCACTCCGGCTTGATGCCGTAACGGTAGAATCGTTCCTCCATGGCTGCATACTGAGGGTCTTTGCTCCTCCTCTTCTCACTGTTAAGTTCCTCCTCCCCAGAGCCATAGTCGTATGGTGGTGGTTCGTCCATGTCGTTCTTCCGCTGGTAGTTACGGTACATTACTGAGTGATATAGCTCCAACTGCATCAAGGGAAAAAAACAGAGATCAGAGATAAAGGAACAAGCCAAAAGAACATGCATGATTTAATGATTTAATGAAGCTGGCTCTGTGTAGGTAATGTGGGAATCCCACCTGTAGTTCGCTGACCCAGGAGCAGTGCCAGTAGGACAGCCCAGCCCATTTCACAAACAGCTGCCTCTCTGGACGACCCTTCAGGGGCATTTTGGCCAAACCATCCACCTTCTCTCCATCTCGCCCAAAGGGAACCTCAGGTGGTAGAGGAGGATCGCTCCACGCCCAGTGCAGAATCTTCTGGACTTTGCCTTTTAGCGGTGGACACTAGAGAAAATATGGATGCACAATAGGGCTGCACGATTAATCACATGCGATATTTAACGCGCATCTTGTCAGTAAAGCCGGTTCTGTAATCAGCGGTAAATCTCCATCACCTGCGGGCTTTCACATTGAGCAGTCCATATTCGCGTGATTTTTTGCGCAGCTCCTCAGTGAACAACGGCTCTGTGTAGTTAATGCTGCTCAACGTGAAAGCCCGCAGGTGATGGAGATTTACCGCTGATTACAGAACCGGCTTTCTGACAAGATGCGCGTTAAATATCGCATGCGATTAATCGTGCAGCCCTAATGCACAATGTTCAAAACAATACATGCCTTTATTTGGGCTTTAATAGTTTGATTTCAGCCAGGTTTAAAATGTCATGAAAGTGCTTTTTCATAAAACTGCATTAAATTGATCTAAATTCATCAAAGTAAATTCCTATTCATCAAAGAATCCATATAAAATGTATCATGGTTCCCATAAAAACATTAAGCAGCATAACTGTTTTCAACTTTGATAATTATAAGAAATGTTTCTTGAGCACCAAATCAGCATCAAATGATTTCTGAAGGATCATGTGACGCTGAAGACTAGAGCTGTTGAATGTTCAGCTTTGCCATCAATGGAATAAATTACATTTTAAAATATGTTAAAATAGAACTTTTAAATTCTAATAATATTTCACAATATAACTGTACTTTTGGTTAAATAATAGAGCCTTAATGAGCATTAAAATGTCTTTTACAAGTTTTGTATTATTTTCAGCTATTTTAAAAACTCTTCAGAATGATTTTAACTGAACCGACCCATGCAGACGTTTCTCACCATGCATCGTGGACACAGCCATTCTCCATTGGGAATTTCAGGAAGTGGTGGGTTGAGACAGTGGATGTGGTAGGAGGAAGGGCAGGTGTCACAGCACAGCAGCTCTCCTCCGTCCTTACACACTCTGCAGAACTCCATGTGGTCATCTTCCTCCTCACCAGCAACCTCGTCTTCCTCCTCCTCATCATCTTTGGCCTCCCACTGAATGCCTTCTTTTTCCTGAGAGATGAGGCAGTGAACTGTCAGTCTGAATAGCACAGGTTCTGTGGTGTTGAATATACTAGAATGTATTTTTTTGCAAGTATATGCTTGTGGTGAAGCAAGGAGGGATTTCCTCACGCAGTGGGGGCAGCTCCATTTGCCCTCAGGGGCTTTCTCCAGTTCTGGATCCAGACACACCAGGTGATATGCTCTGGGACAGGTGTCACATAGAATGATCTCTCCTCCCTGCTGACAAACCTCACAGTAATCTTGATGGTCTGTCTCGTAGCCGTCTCCATCCTCTCCTACATTGACAATAGAGTTTAAAGAGAAACCTAAACGGTTTACTGAACAGAAGTACTGTGCAATTTTAATACAAAACTTCACAATTTTAACAACAATATTTCAATACATCAGTATCTCTAAAAGTAATTTTATTTAGCAAGGACACATTAAATTGATTCTGTTATTTTGAACGTTCTATTCATCAAAGAATCCTTGAAAGAATGTACCATGGTTGACAAAAATATTAAGCAGCACAGCTGTTTTCAACTGTGATAGATAATCAGCATATTAGAATGATTTCTGAAGGATCATGTGACACTGAAGACTGTAGTAATGGCTATAATAATATATAATAAAAATATTAATAGAAACTATAATAGTTCAATACTAAAATAACTGTTGTGAAGGGTAGTGCAATAATATAATAATAATAGTAGTAAATTTACTTTTTCTTTTTTTTCGTCCTTGGCGGGCTGACTTCTTTTTGGGTGCCGCTGAACTGTCTGAGCGTACAGAGGCACTGTGAATGCTGATGTCATCAAAGTCTGAAAAGTCATCCAGGAAATCCTCCTCGCTCTGAGTAATAAGACAGTTTATGCAAAAGGCACAATAAGTCTTCATCAAAAATGAAAAGGTCATAACTTGGAAAACAACTTCAATAATAACCCAATAAAACTGGGTGGAACAAGAACAATGGGAAAGTATATCTATACAAATGATCCATGAATTGTTCTGGGAAGTGGAAAAGCTAAACAATTATTCGATTCTCTCTCAATTGAAAAGCTATGGGGCATCTTTCCATGTGATACACATTAAGCCCTAGAAAGATTTCAGTGAAAGCATGTTCTCACCGAAGAGCCTTTTTTCCTTTTTCCACCCTGGCCTGCTTTCGATTTGGACTTCTTCTGTTTCCCTTTCTTTTTTGTTTCTTTCACTGGCTTACTTTTTTTTTTAGCACCAGGCCCTGCAATGCAGTCCAGATGAGATAAACAAAACAGAAATGTTTTTTGTGAGATCTGAGAACAATACTCCTTTCTTCAGACATACATAAAACACATTCTACGTTTGCAAATCTGTATTTTGTAAAGAAGCTAGTTACATATGCCCACTTAAAGCTAAAGTATAAAACATTTTGATGTTAAAATATTTCCTATAATATGAAATTGCACACTTTGAAGTTTGAAAGTTACACTAAAAGCATTTTTGAGAGTGAAAAACCAAACACATTTGAATAAAGAACTGCCAGCAGCCAATCATTAATCATGTTACATGCAGTATGTAAACAATGTGAAAACCTACACTAACTGCTTTGGAAATCCGATCCTAGATATAAACCCCTATATAAGATCAACAAAAAGAACATTACGTTACCCTTTCCCTCTTTGGTTTTGGCTTTTTTGATTGGGCCAGATGGTGAGATCTGTTGGATACTTCTAATACAGATGGGCGGAGCCACATTGACAGTTTCCACAGCAGCAGCTACAGCAGCCGCTACAGCAGTTGCAGAGGTGCCTTTGAAAGGGTTGTTTGCACTGAACTCTCTCCACTTTGCTCCAAGCACCGTCATCATTTTTGACATGGGGATCTTGGGGTTCTTCTTGGCAATGAGAGGTCTAACCACAGAAAAAAGAGATTTGTGACCAATTTTAAAGCAATAAGCTACGAGAGGCCATGCATTGTGGTGATTTTACCTCAAGTACTGAATGTTCTCAGGCACTATGAATCAGAAATCGGAAGTATATACTAAAAGAGTCTCTATCACATCAAATATTACACTGGTTACAGTAGACATGCATGGTGTGGGTCTGACAGTACATCTTGTTTCAATGCCTGTTATTAGAAAACCTGTCATCATAATGTCATTAATTCATACAGGCATGAGCATTTGCCAGAAGGAATGTTTTAAAATAGAACAAGACATCTTGACAGCAGGGCAATAGAATGTCCATGCAGAAGAAAAACTGAAATCCTACCTAAGAAACTGGCTGAAGGCTTTGTAGTTGGTTATGGTTTTATAGTCGTCCTCTGAGAAGACATACTGCACATCTTCAAGACCCCACTCTTGCATCAGCTGACTGGATGACTTTGGCTCCTGGTGTCACATGAGAAATTGTTATTCATTTATTCTCTCGGCTAATAGAGCATAATAGAACTTTTCTAAGTGAGAACCTTTAAGTTTCCATCATCGTCATCATCGTCGTCCTCATCATCATCTTTCTTTCGCTGTTTTGTTTTCCTCTCCTTCTTCTGTTTGGGCTTTTTCTTTTTCTTCTTCAGGGAGCTGAAGGTGCTGCTCTCACTTCCTGACCTGTGACCATGATCCTCTCTGTCTAACATGTCATCTAGCCCACTAGGAAGCCCCTGTGAGCACAGGCAGAGACATTATAGGAAAAGAAGATGAAGCACTCATGTAAAAATTAATGGGAGAATTGTAACGCTCAATATGGTGGCTGTAGGAATGAAAGTGCAGCCTTTCAGTAAAGAGCTAAACTCCTTTTTGGTGGAATCTGAACATACACATTAGATGGACCCAACTGAAAAATACCTTTCAGTTTTTTGCAAGATTTTAGCATGAAGCATAATTTATGGTACCATTAATGTCAGATTTTATTGCTGATTTTATGTTATTGAAACTTGATCATAACAAACAAATTTCCAAATTCATAGTAGCAAGTGTGTATTTATTTCCTTAATGGTAACCGAAATGGCTCGGGTTACTCAACGTAACCTTGGTTCCCTGAAAGGAGGGAACTAGACATTGTGTAATCTCTAGGGGAAATCCCTTTCTCCAAACTTTCCTAAAGCCTCAACGTATCACACTATTGCATTGCAATAGCCAATGGCGTTCGAGCGCTGCTACTACAGATAGGAATATGGTATTACAGAAGCATCCTAACTAAAAAAAATAAAAATACTAAAAACTCTTTAACCCCACGGAGTCCTAACTTCAACCTTTTGGAATCCAACTCTAAAAACACATTACATTCGCCCTTTTAATGAATGGCATTACATATATTAATTATATAAGCCAAAGAGAAGTGACATTTGATGGTGGAGAGACTTTTGGATGATGTGTTGTGCTCTGATGATAAAATACTTGTAAATAATTACAGACTCCCACTACACATGATTTTTCAGGTAGTTGTGCCAAGATGTGCCTCACAGGACCACAGTGCTACATATAGACAGACATATAATCCTATAAATAAAGAAATATATACATATAGGATATATACAGTATATAGTCAACCAATTGCGACCAATGTTACAGAGACCAATGCACCATCATGGAGCATTATTACCAGTCATTCTGCAAGTTAAAAGTATGCAGTTGTTTCTCCATTTTGGTTTTATGTTTACCTCAGCAGATGGTTGCGCATGGTTGGTTGTTTGGTAACAGGCCTGACAGTTGAATATCGAACTCGATGGAGCAGTTTAAGATTTCTTAAACTAAGCATAAGATAAAATTTTGTAAGATAAGAATCCTAAATCAAGTTAAGATTTGCTTATGTAATACAAATTTGTGAAAAATCCATAATTATCATATCTTAAGACCTAAGATAGGAAGTTTATCTAATATACCCCCTTGTACTGTAAAATAAAAAAGATTATTTAAATATTATGATTACTGTTATATTTAACACCAACAATAATAATATGATGTAATTAATACTATACTCATTTCCCCATTCATAGAAAAAACAGCCTGGTAGTGTTACCTAGATAGTCACCAAGTGAACTGACTTGTCCTAAAGAGACTTTTGTGCTGACCTGTCAAAAATAGTGCACAATTTCAGTTTTTAGAAGCAAAAGCAAATATAACTCTACTTGTAGGAGGCATGAAACGGAGTTCCTTCTAATTGGGTAAGACCTCCCATCCACAGAATTTAAATAAAAACAGGCTTTTACTATGGCCTAACTATTGATTAATGTAAAATCAACTCCACATTTTCAATAAAGGAAAAACCAGATCATTATGACACTATTATTAGTAACATCTGGAAGCAGGGAAACCGATCAAAATTATCATACTGCTAGGGAACACACATATTTCAGTGGGTGAATTACACTGTCTGTGTGTGTGTGTGTGTGTGTTTGTGTGTGTATGATTGGAGAAAGCCTTTTGCTGTGTTGCAGCTGTGCACTGGCTGGCAGACGTCTCTCCGGCGCAGGGTAGGCCAGCACTGCCGCAGAGTGAACAAGCTCCACCGGCAGCAGTTCTGAGCTGCCATGGAAACCAAACTGTGCAGTGTTGGAGGTGGGGGGTGTAGGGGGAGCTCTCTCTACTGCAGCAGCCAATGGAACAGCGCCATCCAATCAGATGCGTTTGCATAACGAGCTTGTTATGGAGAGTCCCCATGGTTGCAGTGCCTGTGTTCTAGGGCCCGTCTAGACAAATCTCAATCATGTACATGGGGGAGGGAGAAAGTGAGAGAGGAAGGAGAGGGAGTGAAAAGGGAGGGGTGCTCATGCAAGAGGCAATGAGTAGAACCGCTAAAGAGCTTCACAGCTGGAGCTAAAAGGTCTCCCAAAATCCAAACCACAATTTTCTGACAATGAACCTCAAAAGGCAAAAATATCCGATGTAAATAATGTGTGGTTTTCAGGCTGACACATCGAAAATGCAGTAATTAGGGAGAGTTTGGCTAAAAATGACAATTTTGTCATCATTTACTTACCTTCGTGTTGTTACAAACCTGTTTGAGTTTCTTCTGTGGAACACAAAATATAAGTTTTAGGCAGATTATCATTTCCATGCATAAGATATCATTGGTTCTTTTGTCTTGTGACCATTCACAATACATTTTAATGTTAAATCTAATTGGATGCAAATTAGTTTTGTGACCTACCGTGGATTATTACAATTTCAGGCTTTTCCACACACATAGTTATTGTATTGCTTTACAAGTTGGAAATAGCAAATGAGTTAAATACAACTTCTTTATTAATTAATCTTATTTTCTAGTACAAATATCTAAACATACATAAAACAATAAATATTTTCTGAAGTAATATCACATTATACATTATGTTTTCAGAGAAAATATCTTGAATTGAGCTTATTTTCCGCTTGCCATTTTTTGGTAACACTTTACAAATAAGGTCCCATTAGTTAATGTTAGTGAATGCATTAACTAACAATCTGTAATGCATTTGTAATTTATAAATGGTTTAGAAGTATTTTTTATTGTTAATTAATGTTAACTAAAGTTAACTAACAGTACTTATTTTAATATGTTACCTTTTTTCTTCTTTAAACATAAAACTAACCAAATTTATTTAGGTTTATGCTTTTGCTATAAATGTTTTACTATCTTCTGACTGACATTTCAATATTTTGTCTAGAAAACAACACAATATTAATACTAACATTTTACAAAATTGTAAGACTTTTTATTTTGCAGTGCAAAATAGATATTTTATGCTACTTTTTGTAGTTTGACAGCCCCAGTAACTATTCACTTTTTTAGAATGTATGGAGAAAAAAGCAGCGTGAAGTCTCTGCCTCAGAAGAAAGCCAGTCATTCGAGTTTGGAACCACATGGAACCACATGAGAGTAAGAAAATGATGAAAGAATCTGCATTTTTGGGTGAACTATGCCTTTAAATGCTGCATTTTCTGTGGGAAAGAACTGCAAAACAGTGTCAGGTATCTTTAGGATCTTTTTTCCCCAAAACATCCTCAACATCTTCAACACACCAGACCAGAAAAAAAAAACGCTCATTTGTACTACTGAAATGTCACTTATCATTGTTTACATCTGACAAAGCACCAATTCTCACTCTCCCGTTACAATCTCTAGACTCTCCACAGTCTATCAGGCTCCGGCGCAGGTGGCCGGCTTTGGCGAGCTAAGCTGTTAGACTTACGGACAGCAGAAGGGCAGGCGGCGGTTTTGACCCGCATTGATTTGAGCCCGTGTCTGACACAGCACTGCAGGGAGAGCATGACTGACACCAAGCAGGGCTCTTAGCTGCTGAGGGGAGACCTCTCTGCCCTCTCCACGGCACATTTACCACCGCTGAGAAGGAGGGAGGGTTGCTTGAGAGAAAGGCTGAATCTGTGCAAGGAGGCAGATAAAGTGAGAGTGGGCTAGGGAGGAGAAAGAGTGGAATCCCTCTCATTATCTCAATGGCAAATACAGTCAGCTGGGGGGACTGTGACCGACTGACCTGTCAAATGTTTTATCTCTCGCTAAAAATACGACAAAATACACCTAGGTCAGGCAAGTTGTTTCATACTGATCATTCAACTCATAGGAGCAGCATTTATGCCACGGCCTTGCAGACAAAAGCACACCTGGCCTTTTTTTATGTTTTTTTATGAGTACTGTGATGTAAAGTAGGCTGAAGTCAGATCAGGGCGCTACTTGTTGTGTGGATGGTCTAATGTCAGCCTAACTTTTCTGGGAGGGAGCCCTGAAAATATTTTTAATAGGACAGTGGAACACAAAAGAAGATATATTTAAAAAATACATTTAAAAGTGAGTTTTTTTTATCCACACAATGAAAATCAATGGTGTTCTGTGTTATTTTGGACCCCACTGATTTTCATTGTCTGGACAGTTATCAAAACATCTTCCTTTACATTCCACAGACAAAAGTCAGTCTTATGTGTTTGGAACAACAAGAGTGAGTAGCGATGACATAATTTTCATTTTTGCATGAATTATCCCTTTTAGTGTGTGTTAAATTGGAACTGTTTCAATTTTTCCCCGTTCATAAAAAAAATTAAAACAAAAACAAAAAACATTGGAAGTTTCAGTAATGATAAGTTGAGCAAACAAGTAGTATCTGACTGTTTTCACATCAGAAATCTGGTGACACATTTACAGTAAATGATCACGACGCTGATAAAAAAAACAAAGATTCTAGAAATGCTAGAAATGCACATTTAGCCTAACAAATCTATGCCACATGAAAATAACTTACATTCTGATGATGTGATGACGACATCTATTTCAGCCACACTTCAATCAATTAGATAGCAATTAAAAGGCTCCTTACCTCCTTCTTCTTCTTTTTCTTAACTTTGGGTTCCTTTCCTTCCATTATCTTGCTGGGTTTCTTCTTTTTATGTTGTTTAACCGAATCATCCTCAGAGAAGAACCTCTCTAAGGGTGTCAGGGGAACACTCCTCCGACGTTCACCTTCCTCATCCTCATCTGAGAAATAACACAAGAGGTTCACACTTATGGGATTCATGCATACACTGCACCACCCCCAACTATCTATCTATCTATCTATCTATCTACAGTTAGGTCCATATATATTTGGACTGAATAGGCTACAATGGTAGCCATGGTAGTAAGATTCCATTTAAGTAAATAAATGTATTCATTTACTATTTGTTTATTTATTTATTTGACATATTTACAGGTTAATGTGGTATATTGATGGTATTAGATGGTAATATTATTGTAGTTAGATCATGGTATATTTCCAAAAACAACATTGTATAGTTTATTAAAATGTGACGTTACATGTAAAATTTATGAATGATTATATTAAATGACCGATAACATGGTAAATTGCTACTATGATGTGAATCCAACAAAAACATGGTATTGTCATGGTGCATGTACCAAAATGTTGTACTCTTTTCTTTTCTTTTTTTTATAAAAAAATTAGGATTTTTTTTCTAAAAGCCTAAAAGGCTTATCAGTTAAATATATAATTATTATATAATTAAACAATTGTAATTATTTATTATATTAAAAAAAATGTTTTTTTTTAGATTTTGTATATATACATACACTTAGGTCCATATATATTTGGACACTGACACAATTTTTATATTTTTGGCTCTGTATGCCACCAGAATAGAATTAAAATGAAACAATCAAGATGAAATTGTAGGGCAGACTTTAAAGGGATAGTTCACCCAAAAATGAAAATTCTGTCATTAATTACTCGCCCTCATGTCATTCTAAACCCATAAGACCTCCGTTCATCTTCGGAACACAAATTAAGATATTTTTGATGAGTTCTGAGAGCTCTCTGTCCCTCCCATAGACAGCAATGTAATTAACACGATCAACGTCCAGAAACGTAGCAAGGAGATCGGTAAAATATTCCATGTGACATCAGGGGTTCAACCGTGGCTGCGCCACGCGGATACGTTGTTTTCATAAATAAACTCATGGACATCACCAAAGACCGGGTTTCCTCCTCTGTGATGCTTTGCCAGGCCTTTAATGCAGCTGACTTCAGTTGTTGTTTGTTTGTGGGCATTTCTGCCTTTAGTTTTGTCTTCAGCAAGTGAAATGCATGCTCAATCGGGTTGAAATCGGGAGATTGACTTGGCCATTACAGAATATTCAATTTTTTACCATCAAAAACTCCTGGGTTGCTTTTGCAGTAAATTTGAGGTAATTTCCACTTGTACTATAAAGTGCCGTCCAAACAACTTTGCTGCATTTGACTGAATCTGAGCAGAGAGTAAATCCATATACACTTCAGAATTCATCCGGCTGCTTCGGTCTTCTGTCACGTCATCAATAACACCAGTAACCCAGTGCCACTGGAAGCCATGCATGCTCATGCCATCACACTGCTCCACCATGTTTCACAGATGATGTTGTATGCTTTGGATCATGAGCTGTTCCAAACCTTCATACTTTTTTCTTCCCATCATTCTGGTACAGGTTGATCTTGATTTCAGCTGTCCAAGGAATGCTTTTCCAGAAGTGGTCTGGCTTTTTTTAGATGTTTTTTTTTGGCAAAGTCTAATAATCTGGCCTTGTTTGCACCTTGTAGTGAACCCTCTGTATTTGCTCTCGTGAAGTCTTCACTTGATAGTAGACTTTGACAGTGACACGCCTACTGTACCTCCTGGAGAGTGTTCTTCTCTTGGCTGGAATGTTGTGAAAGGGTTTTTCTTTACCATAGAGAGGATCCTCCGATCATCCACCGGGCCTTTTTATGTTGCCAGTGCATTCTTTGTTTCTCAGAATGTACCAAACTGTTGATTTGGCCACTCTGAATGTTCCTGCTATCTCTCTGATGGATTTGTTTTGTTTTTGAAGCCTAACAATTGTCTGTTTCACTTGTATGGAGAGATCCTTTGACCACATGATGTGGGTTCATATCAACAGACTGCTCCACCATGTTTCACAGATGATGTGTGTGCTTTGATCATGAGCTTTTCCAAGCTTTCTCCAGACTTCTTTCTTCCTGTCATTTTGGTACAGCTTGATGTTAATTTCAGTCATCCAACGAATGCTTTTCCAGGAGTGCTCTGGCTTTTTTAGATGTTTTTTGTCAAAGTCTAGTCTGGCCTTGTTTGCAGCTTGTGGTGAAGCCTCTGTGTTTGCTCTGGTGAAGTCTTCTCTTGATTGTAGACTTTGACAGAGACACGTCTGCCTCCTGGAGAGTGCTCTTCTCTTGGCTGGATGTTGTGAAAGGGTTTTTCTTTACCATAGAGAGGATCCTCCGATCATCCACCGGGCCTTTTTATGTTGCCAGTGCATTCTTTGTTTCTCAGAATGTACCAAACTGTTGATTTGGCCACTCTGAATGTTCCTGCTATCTCTCTGATGGATTTGTTTTGTTTTTGAAGCCTAACAATTGTCTGTTTCACTTGTATGGAGAGATCCTTTGACCACATGATGTGGGTTCATATCAACAGCTTCCAAATGCAAATGGCACACTTAAGAGTCAACTCCAGACCTTTTACCTGCTTAATTGATGTAGAAATAACGAAAGTTATAAAACATAAAACAGCTTTTGAGTCAACTGTCCAAATACTTATGGTCTCTTGAAAAAGGGGTGAGGTACTTATTAAAGAGCTGTAATTCCTTAATCTTAAACTTTCCTCCAATTTTGATGCGAATACTCTCAAATTAAAGATCAGAGTGTGCACCTATCTTCTATCTCTTTCTGTCTGTTCTGCTGGGTTTGCCTGTAAAGAGAAGTCTCCTTCACTCCATTAGATGAAAAGCAAAGATTTTTGTTGACACACTGATAGGGGAGCGAAAGGAGAGAGGTGAGGTCTCTGCCACCAGCTGAACTGTGAATCTCTCACTGTAAACAAAAAACTACTGTCTGGCAGCGCATATTCACTGTAACACTTCAATGATGCCACGCTGTCAAAAAGGCTAAGCGCAAGGGAAAAAAAGACATCAGGAAGGCATCGTCTGCAAACCGGAGCACTACGGTGCAACTCCTGCCGCCTGTCTATCATCAGCTCAGACGGCGGCCTATGAAATATGCAGCGCGTGTGGTGGAGTCAATCAGCTAAAGTCCTGTCCCGCGGCCCACCACGCCCCGTGGGATCTGCCGGAGATGGGGCTTTCCCAGCCTCTTGGATGCTATCCTCGAAATCCACTTAACCTTCATTTAGCTGCCACTGTTTGAGGACTTCAGCTCTGGTGAGAGCAGCCCCTGCACGGTTCAAGCCTCGCTTGCAGCCCTATAGGGCATTTTGGGTATTTACTCAAGTAAAATACAGAGCTCCCCATCTCTCTGTCAGCCGCTGGGAGGTTTTTTCTTATTTCAATCTTCTGCCGCACATTCGCATTGCAGTTGCCTGCGAGATGACGGATATTTAGGGCAGTGCGTCTGCAGTACATCTCACAGGGAGGCTCTTTCATGTCGGCAGAATATGTCTGCTGCCTGCCAGGCGCATCAAGCTCACATCTCGTCTTCATTCATGTCTCACTTACAGTCATGGTGATGCAACACAGCACTCTTGAAGTGAGGATATCTGCCAAAGGTTTTACATTGTCAACTTACTTTTAAGCTTTTTAGATTTTGTCATTATGAAGATTCATATTTTTAGTCTATATATGAATAGTTTGAAGTATATGTATTTTTTAATATTAAGGCACTTTATCCTGTTCTTGGTGAAATTTCATATTTTTATTCAGTATATGCATACTAATAAGCTGAAGTGTATATATATTTTTTTCAATCCAATCCAATTCCAATTTAATATGCAAAGAAAATGTATGAATAATAAATCATCTGTAGCCTGATTTCCCCAAAACTGTAGCTCTATTTTTGCATCCCAGACTCGCTGTAATAGGCAGTCACGTTTTGTGCCATGTTCCCGAGTAAGCAGAGCCTCAGCCAGGAATCGCCAGGTGCTTAAAAGCTGTGCTGCTGCCATTCGCTACTGGTAGCGGGCCTAAAAATCTCCCAACTGCAGCCCCACATTTGTGTGTCAGCTAGGCACGGACATTAGGGTAACTTTGACCTTGCAACAAGGGCTGGGTCAGTGCCGCACTCCATTAGAGATGGGATTCACGGCCGGTCTCGCTGTTAGGAAGAGGAACGTTTACAGGAAAACGCATTAGCTGTTTGACAGACTGCGTATGTTAATAATGCCCCCACCGTTAATGTGATGAGACAGCATGGTTGGAGCACCCCCTCATTGAGACCTTCAAGTTTTATAGGCCGTGTCTAACTTTCTGAAGACTATATCCATTCTCAAGGTCCCAAGGCTGATTCACAAACCTTTGCTCTGCTTTGCAAAGAGATACAGCGGCAAACATTGCAAGTACACAAGCAAAGTAGTCTAAAATGAATGTCCTAATAACCTATAAAACAAGAACAAAGCCACTGTAATTGAGTTTAGATGCTATAATTATTTTATTCCAGCATGCATATGCTACACTGCAGTAATTTGTTGGTAAAATTTGCAAGATGTTTGAATTTGACACACAGTGTGGAGTCTGATGCAAAGACTGATGACACATAGGCATAAGCATGTGATGCAACAATGATTTACACGCACGCACAAACTCTAGCAAAGACGAAGGGGTGTCAGCTTTCACAGTGCAGCTTCCAAAAATAGCCCCCACTGAACAGAGCAGCTCATGATAATCTTTCAGTTTCAAAGATAAGACTATGTAAAAGAAAACCAGACTTCGAATGGTGGAAATCAAGAAGGGGGCAGAAAACACTCAAATGACTTTGGCTCAGCTTCACCCTAATGCGTCCTAATGAGGATCCACATAAAAAGAAACTCTTGCTAGCATTGTTGGATTATGAAACGGCACTAACAAGAACAGGGCAGAAAATATAGAATGTTTTTCATTATGACTATGATAATTATTTTCTTTTAAGAATGACTTAAAGGGATAGTCCACCAAGACCATACTATCATTTACTCGTCCTCATGTCGTTCCAAACCTGTACGAGTTTCTTTCTTTTGCAGACAAAATTTTAAAGAATTTTTTGAAGACATTTGTCAATATAATTCAAGTCAGTGAGGTCCATAACAACATTTTTATTCCATGGACAAAACACTGAAACAGTTTTCAAAATATCTTATTTTTTTTGTGATTCACATTAAAATTATTAAGTTGTACAGTTTTCAAACGATGTAAGATTTAGTAAATTACAGAATTTAATTTGTGGGTAAACTATCCATTGAATCTGCTATTGATTTTGCAACACCTCTCTGGAGCCAATCCACTCCTTTGTTCCTGACAGGCACACAAGGAATATGGACTCATGTTGCAACAATTTAAAACTAACGGATTAAAATGTGCATATCTTAACAGAAGCGATGCACATCCATTAACCAAATCCAATGGAAGTGAAATAACATTAAAAACCATGCAATTATTGAGCATACCATTGAATTTTTTATCATGTTTCGTCTTAACATTTTTATAAATCATCTGTTTGTCTCTTTATATCTGCGGTTAGGGCATGCACTAGTGATCCCTTTATTGCTCCTGGCTGGGGGCAGCAGCCATGTGTTCTGCAGTGTTTGGATCATGCAGTGAACAGTCTTGATTGCAAATCTCACTTTGATATCCTACAATACAAACTGCATTCTTAATATACATCCTATTACTTTACTTATGCATGTTAGATTCACTATAATTAATTTAAAATATGCTTTTTCTTTACAGATAAGCTCAAGATGAACTGGATTGATTGTATGGGTATTATTATGCGGTGGTTCGCAATTAAATAACTTAATAGCTCATTTCACATCTTAAAAATTAGCTACATTTATTAATCTCACCAAAACATTCATCAACTAACTCGTTATAATTTCAGCAAAGGAACCAGTGATGATGTTCTGGCCTGCACTCAAAGCAATCACAGTGAATGGGACTAAACAGCATAACCCAAAATCCTGGCCAGTCCTGCACTGCATAGATTTCTCATTTTTAGCACATGCGGGGGCTAACTGTCTACACGGAAAGAGCACACTGGCTCATTAATTATTTCTCAATTATTAATTCTTCTGCATATTGCACATTATTTCAAATCGTTTACAGCCCTCAGCAGCATTCATCTCAGCCATGTTACCGCCTCGTAAAAAAAAGAAGGTAAGTACGCGATTGGGGTGCAAATGAGATACTCGTGCTCAGGTCTGTCACGTGATTAATTCACGACTAATTCAGAGGCAGCCTAGACTGGGCTGTGTGAGCGAAAAACTATAAACATATTGATTTTATTGAACCGAGGGCCGTGAATGTATACAAGGCATGCAGGCAGAACGGAGTCTTAACTACACAGGCTTCTCCATTACACCACTGAGAACCCAGCTCTCACAACCAATGGAGACCAATCTATCATTAAAAAAATAATAAGACTGATGAGATGCATGCCCTTCACCTACACAGGAAGCATAAACAGAGTGAAATCATAAGGATACAGTAGTCACCAGCAGCGATTAACCCGTTGATAAGGTTGGGTTTGGAGTTAACCTTGAATGCAAAGGGAAGCATAATAATTGTTTGAGAAAGATATATGCAGCATCAACATAAAGTGTCACTTTTCAACTACAATTTTCTGTAAAGCAGCTGATGCACAAAGCATCAGTTTCATACATTCATTTAAATTAAGCAAAGGCCCTTCTTTTAGCAAACACTCCACAGGTCTACACTTTAGAAAACATTTGATTGTAAAAGAAACCAAATGTAAAAATTGTAAACCTGCTAATCTACAGTACAACCACTCACTTACTAACTAAATAAATACATAATGTAAAAGATATTTCATTTTATTATAAATGAATGAAAATAAGTAAAAAGTATTTTTATAATTGTCTTTTAGTCATCTTGTAATTGATAACTAAATACTAAGGAGGACAATTCTGATCAACTCTATCAATATCAGTGCATTTTACAGCAACAAACACATTAATAATAAATCAAATAGGTTTGTATATTAATATCATACAATGTAATGCCACATACCTTTAGGAAGCCTAAAATATAAAATCACCAAACCTATCAAATCCTAGTTAAGTTCTGATAATCAGTTTTACTGTAAATTTAACAAACCTTTTGTAAGATACTATGAAGGCTGTCTTTGCTAAAGTATGTGCCCCTCAAACCAAACAGACCACAGAGGCAGTGGATCATTGTAGCTGATGTTTTCCTGTCACACGTGGCTCTATCAAGCACATGCACTACTTTTACAAGACAGTGACCACAGAGTAGCACTATCACCATCAGCTCTTTAATATCCCTTAGAGAAACACCTATAACACCTTTTCGGGAAACTGTTTGTTTAGATCGGTTCTAAACAATGTATAAATCCCCACAGCTCCGTCTTGCCTACTATTTTTACAACGAGACTGCAGCATTGCCATGCACCAGACTTTATATTAAAACAGTCCATCAGGTTTAGAAATCATTGTGCACAGTGGCTGCAATATCAGAGCAGCCTGACTGGGAAGGGAAAAAAAGACAGTGGGTGCATGCATAACTCATTTATATGCAAAGAAAAATGCGCATGTAAAAACAAACAGCCAGATGATGTTATACGAACAGCTACAGAGAACGATTTTATCTCAAAGAGAATCGCAAACAGATGGTCTGCCGGCGGACAGCCGCGCTTTAGTGACTCAAATACAGTCGGACAGTGTCCGGTGTGAGAAAAGAAGCTACTGAGACTATAATAAATCGCACGCGCGTCAAGCCCCTCTTCATCCGCATTCAACTAGGCGTAGCAGCGCAGTTGTGAAGGGCAGAACTCTCCCTCCCCTGTGACTCTTTACCCCCTCACCTGGCACATCGTCCTCAAAATCCACATCGTCTTGCCCCTCATCTTCATTGCTTAGCGATCCGGGCATCTTTACCGCATAACAAGAAAATCACATCCGAGATACAGGAATAAAGTCCTGAAACTTAACCCTCTGAATGCTCAGATTTTCAGCTTCAGAGGAGACGTCTACTGAAGGTGAGGCTAATTTTCTTTTAATATGCTCTCAATAAAATAAAAGATGGCTGCCTAGTTAAAAAAAATATTTCCCTTTCTCCCTCTTCTCTATCCAAATCCTCCAGCCTGAAAATAAGAAAGAGACAAAAATGGAACACACATGCCCAGATTGTGACGTCTGGTCGGTTGCCATGGCAATCCATCCCATAGTTTGCCGACACAACTAGTTAATGCTCTTCGCCTGGTCACCGGTTTAACTAGTAGTGAGAGCGACGGTGGTCGCATTGCCCTTTTCCCGCTCAAGTTCGAGGAATGTGAGGTTATACAGGGAGACGTACGGGAGAAAGTTCCCTCACAATCCCTTTCTGTCAGACGAGGGAAGAGCATAATAGGAGCTGGAAAAAGGATTTTGTTTTCCTGCTTTTTTATTTTTCAAATTTAGGTCGGACGAATTGAATATCCAAGGTCACGGCTGAACGTACATCTTTGACGACTTAGTTTAGAGATGTTTAAAAGGGACTTAAAGGTGCAGTTCACTCAGAAAACAATTGCCATTTACTCACCGTGTGTCCCACAGAAAAAGACTTACAGCCTCGGTCAACAGTCGCTTTCATTTAATTTTCTTGACATACACTGAAAGTACACGGTGACTGGGGCATTCTACCTCATTTTGGGCGAACTAAAGCATGGTGAAGCCAGGTTTGTTTTATTTAAATGAAACGCTATTCTTTTCGA